TTAAAGATTAAGAAGTCAAAGCCAATTCAAAATCAAAAATTTTATTCTACAAAGGCCTCTCCTAACCTAGTATAACAACCCAGAATGGCCAGGTACATCTTGTGAGGTCATGAATATTTAACAAGTCAGTCACTACACTGGATAAGAAACCCACCGCGCAGAACACTTTGTTTCCTCTTAGTTTGTTTTCTTTACTGTTTTTCGTTACAGGTACTGTCTGAAAATTAAGGCAAGAACTAGAATCAGTTTCTAGTAAGTCAAGTTTTCATCTCAAATTACATCTATTTCACACTATAATAGCAAGCGTGACACCACTCCAAAAGATAAAAGTTCTTTAAAATAAACAGGTTAGAAAAGACTTTTGTAAAGTAATTGTTAAAAAAGGATATGTATACTTGCAATTTCTAGTTCATTTTTAAAATCTTGTAACTCATCTTTATAGAGACGTATAAGAATGTTTAGTGTAGCCTTGTTTATAATGGCTATAAATTGGAAAAAACCTAAACATCTAACAATAGGGAATTGGTTAAATTATAACACACCCATTGTGTACATACATACGATGAAATTCTATTCAGCCATTAACAGTGATGATAGAGATGTACACATACTAAGATAGAAAGAAGTCTTTAACATCCTTTTCCCATCATTTTTTAGATTATACTGAATGGTATGTATAGTATGTCAGCGGCTTTTATAAACATGTTTCTTTAATGTACACATATATGTACACCAAATATAGTCTGGAAGGATACATATGACAAAACATTTAGAATCTGGATCTTTTATTTTTAATATTTTTATTTCCTAAAGCTTCTACAAAAAAATATTTTTTTGAGAAGAAAACTGGACATGAGGAAGTGAACTAAAGAACAAAACAGAGTAAGGTCTTCAGCTGCTTCTTACTTCAAGACTGAGACTTTTAAAAAAAAGTACTGATACATCAAGATTTTACGAAGACTGTTTTACCTCCCTGTANCCGGGGCCTTGGTGTTATCAGCACCACACTCTCCCGAGTGAGCCACGGGCCGGCCCATATAATTTTTCTAACTTGTTCCTTTGATCCATCCAAATTTATGTTCCCTTAGACAAAGACATTGGTTTTGAAATGTCTGCTTACAACTACGTGAAGTCTACACATAAAAAAAAAAGACTGGAAAGAAACAGACCATGGTAATTACGTTAGAATGTGGTTGTTATAACTTTTTTGCAATGTGGTTATTATGTATTTTCATTATAAAAATAAATGTATAAATAAAATGTTGTTTCCAGATATATACCTTTAAAG